GCATGAAGTACTGTGTGAGGTGTGGATGGCCATATTTGTGCAAGTACCTTTTTTTCCTGCTGGTAGTCCCAACGCCCGCTCCCTGCCATGGGACCTCCTTTGGATGAATGCCTCGTGCACAATTATGCAGCCGCCTTTGCAGAAGAACCAGAGCTGAAACAAGCTTCTTGTCTTTTTTAGTCTTGGTGGGCACTCATGTGAATGTTTTAAGGGTCCATACTTGGATTGGTGAGAACTTCTTTGAGTGATGTTACTGCTGAGGTTGGGTTCTCATTCCTTCTCAACATCAGCGGGAAGCTCTATACAGCTACAAGGTCAAGTCTTAAGGATGTTTCTGGCAATGCACGTGTGCTTCATTTGCAATTCTTGGAACTGCCAACCTCAACCTCTATTCACTATATGCTTTATATGCTTTCATGTTTTTCTGGCTGCTTGGATATATATAGGGTTGTGCTTCTATAGCTGAGGCCATCTTCCCAGTGATGAAAGTTTCGAGGGGCACTGGGCGCTTCTCAGAACGGATCATTCAAAAGGCGATCCTCAAGTTCTACAAGGACCACTCTCTGTGGCCTCGGGGCATTGTGGAAGAAATGAGCTGTATACAGCTTTGGAGTCTTAAGGTTGCAAAAGCACTATGTAGGCTTGCTGCTGGTCTCAACTTCTTTCCAATGTATAGTGAGCTTGAGAAATCGTATGTTTGTTTGCATCTTCCCTGCTGTGGATATGGCCAGCCTTGATCTAGGTTATCCGCTTCCGGCGATTGATGCAGTTGTCGGCCACTGCCAAGAATCCTGGCATCGCTTCTCTGAAGAAGGTGTTCTGGTGGTGTGTGCGCAGCTTGGCAGTGAATATAATTTATGTACTACAGTGATGAAACCTATAGCCTGTGCACAGAGTGAGGGTTATGATGGATGGGTTGATCCATGTAAGGACTTTGAACCTGGGCAACGGTGGCCTGGTGCTACTGGTGATGATGCGATTCTTGAGGATCCCGAAGGGTGTGCTGTCGACTTGGAGGAATTATCAGACCTAACTGATACGACCACCATGGATGTGGATCCTAAGAAGGATGAACCTAAGCTGGAAGATCCCCAGGACCTCAAGCTCTACAGGTAACATGCCATATCAGTGTTTGGACTTCTTGAACATTTTCTAGTTTTGGGCATTTTGAAACTCGTTGATGTGTGCATGAGGCTATATATATGTTTTTGGATGTTTTGGGTCTAGCTGGTACCCATGGTTGCTCAGGTTGAAGCTGCAATCTCTGGGAGTGCAAGATGCAGCAGCTGTGCGGCCTATAGCGACACCTCAAGCCGCCCTCCAGCTGCCCAAACCTGCTTCCGCTCCTGCTCTGGATTTGCAGATGCTGGCTGAAGACCTCAAGCGGGCCATAGCGGAGGCAAAGGGTGAACAGCTGGTGCCTGCAAAGTCGCAGGTGAAGGAGGTGGTTCAGAATAAGCATTTGCTCCCACAGTGTGTTTCTTGTCAAAGCTTTGGATTATATAGGGCTATATATATATATATATGCTGATGTAGTAGGGTTGGTGTGTGAAGTGGGAATTGAAAGTGGTCTGACTGGCCTTTGAGTGGTATGTCCATGGTACTGCAGTGCATGAGGTTCTGAACACGCTCAAGGACATGAACAAGGATTCTGGTGTGACGCCTTTCCGGATCAGTGACACCTACAAATCTTCGTGGAACAACCGGAATGTTGCCAACGATGATGATGACAATGCTGATGATGCTGCTGGTGGGGACAAGCTGAGGCCGAAACGACCAAAAGCCAAATCCAGCAAGGCAAAGACCGGCAAGGCGAAGGTGAAGCCGGCGAAGGTGAAGCGGGCGCCTTTGACCGAGGAGACAAACAAGAAAAGGGTGGCTACTGGAGCATATGAGCCTCATGTGTACAAAGAGGAAAGGAGCAATTACATTGAGGCCCAGAAGAACAAAAGAATTCCGTATGCTGTGGCATGTACAGCCTGGAATTTAAGCCCTGAGAAAGCAAAGCTTTTAGCAGGGGTTCCTGTGCCGGAGCTTGTGCGGAGGCGATTTGTGCCCAAAGGTTCCACAACCAATCCATGGGCATAGCAGCTTAAATTCATGCACCAATTTATTTGCGTCCTATTCACACACATGTGGCCAGAGTGTGCCTTGGTGTGTGCTAGCAGTGCTATGACTGCTGGATTTGTGACAGAAAGTAGCACTTAAGCGCTGATATTCGTCTCTGTATGATTGCTTTGTAGCTATATATATGCTTAAGTACATGTTCTCATGATAGTCTTTATGATTTCTGTTTGTTGAGTGGTGGACGCAATTGGAAATGAAGATTATACATTTTATTCCAAGAGTGGGCTCAGCAATTGCACAGAAAGGTGTGCAAATATACGTCATGGTGATCCTAGAGATGCAGCAATGGAAATCTCCGCTGGTACTTCAACTACTTGTGATCATGGTGCTGCATACATCCATCTTCCCAAGGCCGACGAACTTGGACTTAACCTTTGTTGAGCTCTTTGCTGGGAAGGCTGCAGTGAGCAGCGCTCTACGTGAGGGTGGGGGCAATGGCTCATCTCATGATATCAACATCTCCCCCTTGCTGGACCTCACTAGCACTGCAGGCTTCTTGTTCCTGGGATTTCTTCAATATATAAGTCATTTGTTACTGTGATTCTTTGTTTGAGGGTAGACACCTTTGTTTGGTCATGCCTGACCCTTCCTCCCAGCTTCTGATTGCCTTGCCAAGCTTGCTGAGGACGGCCATCAACGAAGTTTTGAGGATCTCGCCTGGCGGGCTTGTGCTGATAGCCCTATGTTGCAACTCCTTCACGGCGATGCAGCTTGGTGGTTCAATATGTGTTAGTTGTCTTTGCAGGTATATCTGGGTGGAATGAATGGAATTGGAACATATATATACTTATATATAGATATATTAAATATGTTTGTACTAATGTATTAATCATATGTCCAAAGGATTATTTAGCCTAGGTCCAAGGGAACTTCGGCGCGTGACTGCTTCAACAACTGGTTGGGCAATGCTGGATACGGCTATGTGGCCACTGGAAACCTATTGGCGTCTAGAGTTGTGCCTTGGATGGTGCTGGAAAGACCATGTGTCAGAACGACAACATCACCAGGTTTGTTTGTTACCAGTTGAGCCTATATAATTTAGGGAAACCCTGTGGAGACTCCATTTGTTTGAGGTGCTGATCCTGTGGCTTTGCTGCTGGAGGCAGTTACATTGGGTGGTGGAGCAGCCATCCAATTCTTGCTTTCAATCGCACCCACGATTTCAAGAATTCCTTCATGTTTGCAAGGTGGCCTGCTGTGGTTGAGTGTATTTGTTTACCAATATACTACTTGCTACTTTGGATTAACTGACTTATTGCTGGATCAAATGCAGCCCAGGTATTCTCTGGAAAGTTCTATATGGGGTGCTTCAATGGGCCAACGAGCAAGCGGCACAAATTGTGGTCTGGAAGTAAATCCGTCTTGGAGGAGATTATAGCTGGTGCGACCTTTATGTCCAAGGCAATCCGTCTTCAGCTGCCTGGCACGCCTCTTGTGCACAAATATGTGGATAAGAAAGGCAAAAAGAGATATGCTGGAATCCCGCATGCTCTCAAAGCTAGTCAGACCCTTGTTGTGGCTTCAGAAATGGTTTTGGTGATATTTATGTATATAGTAGGTGTGCGTATATAGTTGATTGATTGTGGAATCATATATATATGGCTGTGTGTGCGCTGGCGCAATGCAGGGCCTACACAAGAGAGTTTGGAGAACGAGTGGCATCCGTTGCAAAGAATCACTGCCATGACTGAGTTCAAAACAAATGAAAAATAGAATGAAATAATGCAATACCTTCAACACCTTCATTGCTATATATATCATACTGGCAGGACCAAATGCCTCAACCTCTGTGCGCCTGCGATATGAAGACCTGCAAGACTGATGCAGAGCTGTTCAGCAACCTTTGTGCTGGAGATGGGCTTCTAGGGCTTGGCGATCTTTGGGTTGATGCCCCTAGGCTGAAATATACATGTGATTCATTCTGTGCATGGTTTCTCTATGTGCTAGCTCTATGTCAACCCTTGGCCATGCGACTATATATACCATATATATATATAGTGTTTGAATTGGGGAGACTGACAAACAACCGAGGCTGATATCCCCAAATGTCTTCGCTATCTGGATGGATGCAAGCACCTGTCATTGCCTGGGCGCTGGGAACCTTGGCAAGACAATTGGCTAGAAAAACACCCACATGTGAGCTCAGCAAAATGTTAGAGTTTGTGGCTCATAAATGTCAGGATCCAGTGGTGAAGCAACTGCGCATCCGGCGCTATGTTTCAAAAGTGGGAAGGCTGGAGCTATATTGTGGCACATATCAATGGAACTATAGAGCCTATACCTAGTCAAGTTGGTTGTCAAGTTGGTTCCTGTATATAAATCATCTATGCGTCATGAAATATTTGTGCTGCTTGGGCAGGATCCGATCTGAGCTGATTGACTGATGGGCTGAGCTTTGTGTGTTTCTTTGGCTGGATCTCACATTCAGCTTGCTTGCTGTCAGCTTTTATGGCTGGGTGTGGATTCACACCCAGCTTGCTGCTGCAGGTCCAATTAGCGTGCCATGTATCCAAAGGCTGAAGCTTTGTAGCCTTCTTTGGCTGGATCTCACATCCAGCTTGCTTGCTGTCAGCTTCTTTGGCTGGGTGTGGATTCACATCCAGCTTGCTGACCAGTCCAATTAGCATGCCATGTATCCAAATTGAGCGTGTGAGTGAATGCCCGCACGTTAACGTGGCCAGACCTGTGAACAAAACAATGATTCATGTATGGGCGCAAACCCCTGCGTTAAAATCCGTGAAATGTACGTGAAAAAACACCTCATGTACGTGAACGTACCGTGAATGTACGTGAATGGATTTTGAGTGATTTTTTGAATGAATGCATATGATATCTGTATAGCAATTTTCAACAGGTCTTAGAGAGTGGTTGCTATGGCGGGCGCTTTAGTGGGAGCGCTGCCCTTCCCGGTCAGTGAGCTGACCTGGGAGAAGCTGCCGGCTGTGGTGGAAGCGGGCAAATTGAGTTTTGAGAACGCAGTGATGGTCATGAAGCTGGTTCTTGGCGAACCTCCAGAGGAGATCGCACCTTGGGCTTATATATGTCACATGTTTGATTTGTAGCTGTCAACTATTAAGTGGTGTTGGCTCTGAATGGGTTTACGTGTAAATATCCAGCAATCTCAGGACATGAAGGCTTTGGAACGGCAGTGCCCTGGTGGTCAGCAAGCTGCGGCCAAATCAAAAGCGAAGGCTAAGCCCAAGGCTAAGCCAAAAGCTTCTGGGAAAGCGAAGGCGAAAGGGAAGAGTCAACCGAAGGTCAAAGCGAAGGCAAAAGCTGCTGGTGGGAAGGCTCGGGCCAAAGCGAAGAGTGGAGCTTCGAAGAAGGTGTCGACTCGGGATCCACCGGAACCGTAGAGGGGGAGGAGTCAGAACCTGGAGAAGAAGATCCTGAGGTTGAGATCGTTATGAAGCGGCCTGCAGCAGCTCCTGGCCGGGTCAGGCGACCGCCTGTCAAAGAGCCGGAGCAGCCTGACTTGGTGCTGGAGCTCGAGCAGAAGAGGAAGAATGAGGAGGAGGCTCCTGCAGCTGATGCTTTTGAAATTCCGCCTCTCCCTGCAAAGCGTATGCGCAAAGCTACCACAATTGAGGATTCACAGATCTCGGGGTGGTATCTTGGTTGTGAGTTGTTGTTTTTTAACAGTGCAAATTGTGGTAGTTTATTGATTTTTTTGCTCAGCTACCAACACATATATGATCTGATTGTATATACTGAGACCTTGCCGAGGTCTTGCTTGACACTGCAGCAGGGTTTGGAACATGTGGAGCAGCAGCACTCGCAGCCTGCGCAGCCTACAATTGAAGTGGACTCGGCTTCGCAGGCTTCCACCCTACAGTGACTTTGATTGTTTCAACATGTTTCAACCTTATTTGTGCTTTTTGTTTGTGATGTATACTCTATATATATACATACATTATAATATATAGACGTTGATACATGAATGTTGTCTCAGGCTCGGGGCATCGGTGTCAACAGTGCCGGCGACAGCAGCGGAGCTTGAGATGCGAGCGCAGCTGGCGACCCTGCAGGCTGAGCTTGATGTCTTGCAGAAGAAGGGCCAGAGTGCGGCAGATGACCCGCAGCAGCCACTGAGGCGCATTCCTCCATCGCTGGCGTTGGACACACCGATCTTTGGGTCTCCAGACAACCAGATGGGATTGGAAGAGTCCCAATTCGCTGACACCAAGGTTGACCCGTCTTTGAAGGCTGCAGAAGGATCGAATGCTTCTTCGCTGGAGGCTAAGGTCCAATCAAAGGCTTCACTGAACGATGCTCCTGTGGCTGCTCCTGCACAGGAGCCTGCTGCTGAACCATCGAAGGTGGCTTCTGCACTGGGGGAGCCTGCTGCTATGGAACCACAGGTACCTGCGTTGAATGTGGCTTCTTCTGCACCGGGGGAGCCTGCTGCTATGGAACCACCAAAGGTACCTGCTTCCTCACTTGATGAGCCTGCTGCAATGGAGCCTGCACCTGCTGTGAGCCATGCGGCTCCTTCAACCACGCCTGCTCCTGCTATGTGCCCATTGATGGTGGCTGTACCGGAGGAGGCTGGCACTGCCATGGACCAGTCAAAGGTGGCTCCTTCACCGGAGGAGGCTGCTGTGGCTATGGAGAAGCCTGCAGAGCCTACTGCTCCTATCGGTTCTTCACAGGTACCACCTGCTGCTATTGAACCACCTTCAAATTTGGCACCTGCTGCTCCAATCAAACCACCTTCACATGTGGTGCCTGCTGCTCCTATTGAGCCAACTTCAAAGGTGGAACCTTCACCACAGGAGATGGCTGCTGGGGCTATGGCTCTTGTGGTGGCACCTGCCACTGCTGCGATGGCTCCTTCACCCGCGGAGCCTCCTGCTATGCCAAAGGAACCTGCAAACGCACTGACCATTTCGAAGGGTGCCATGCCCGTGGAATCTGTTCCTCCTGCCCACATTCCTGATCAGCCTCAAGTTGATGAGCGAGACCATGCTATTGCAACTTTGCAGGCCAAGCTCAAGGTGTTGGAAGATCAGTTATTGTCCAACGCCAAGGCTTCCAATGCCAAGGCTCCTCAAGTATCTTCGTTGAATGTGGTCACTGCGCCTCCAGCTGACCTTCCTGACCATGCCATGGTGGAGCTGGATGGGGAGCCCCTCAATCCAGTAGAGTTGGATGAGGAGATGCAGCGGCTCATCAATGAGAATTCTGGCCCTGGCAGTACATGGAAGGATGATGTAGTTGATAACGAAGAGCAGGAGGAGAAGATCAACTACAGCACCCACAGAAACAGTGGTATGAGGTTGAACCGTTTCATGGAATCCAAAGAAGGTGCCAAGTTTCCACATATGAGGGCCATGTTTGAATCAGCGCCTGAGCAATAACCAATTATTGTAAACTTTTATTTTTTTGTAATGCACTTTTCTCTGAGAGGCGCTGGTTTGTTCTTGTGGTCCTTGATTGCCGCTGTAAGGACAGAACGGCTTTGCTTCGTGTGTGGGTCCTGAACAAGGAGAACAGGAACCAGTGTGAGAGTGAGGTGATCCTCAGCCGTTCCAAATCGGCAAGGATTGAAGGCATCCGTGAATGCATCACTGTGAAGGAGATGATTAAGCGTGGCTGGCCAAAGGGCAAGATCTTGGGAGCGATCCAGAAAGGTGGTGGCATTAAGGACGAGCATGATCCTACAGATCCCACCCTGACGTCCTATTGGTGCATCACAGGCCGGAAAAAGGTGGACAGCGAGGAGATGAAGCAGGAGTCAACGATGCGGGTGAAGACAGAATCCAATGCAGAGTCTCTTGATGCGCTGCTTGGATCAACTCCTGCGCTGCCACCTTCATTGGGCCTAAGCGCTGCAGCTTCTGGGATGTCAGATGAGCAAGTCAAAGCTTTGGCTGATGCCTTGGGTTCCTTGTCGCCTTGTCGGCCTTTGTTTGTTGGTGCTTTGTGTGTTTGTCTGTGTGAAATCTTTTGTGTTTTTTGAACATGGTGCTTAATCATAGGCTCGGCTACCATGAGGTTTTGATGTACTACCATGAGTAATATATATTATAAATTGTATTACTGCTCCGCTACCATGAGTTCTGCATATGAGGTGGTGGTGATGCTTCGCAATCTGCCAATAGCTCTGCTCCTGAACCTCGGGCAAAGACAAAGGCCAAGGCGAAGCCCAAGGCCAAGACTACAATTCAGGAGGAGAAACCAAAGACGGCCAATGAGCTCAAGTCTGAGCTTCGTCATTGGCTTGCAATTCAATGGTCTTTTCAATTTTTGTCATTGCTGTTGAAATCAATATTGGTGTGGAGTAATTTTATATTTGTATTGGGAAACTATGAGACTTTGATATAATATATGTTTTTATTATATGTATGTATGATCCCTCAACCACACCCCATGATGCAGGCAGTGGCCTGAAGAAGGAGCTTGGTCAAATGACCGTTGCCACGGACCTGCCGAAGGACCATGCACTTCGCAAGGCGCTGGATCAGTACAAGACGCGCTTCGAAGAATCTTTTGAGGAGCTCCTTGATGGGATTGCTTTTGTTGAATCATGTTGAATCCAACAAATATGTATGTTTAAAACTATATGTAAACATGGCTGAGGCTAAAGAATCTATCGACCCTGGCTGATCTGACCGACTTCAAAGAGGAATTCTCTGAGACCGTGTCCTGGTATGGGTTGGGAGTTCAATGGATTTCATGAGCTGTCTTGAAAATAGTTCTCATCTCATTGGATTTCATGAGCTGTCAAGTAAGGGTTGGGAACTCTGATCATCGCTCAGGTATCTGCGATGAAGCTGGTCAAGGCTCAGGCCAAAGCATACATTGCAGAGATGAACAAACGCGCCAAGTGAGCGCGTGGGTTTTGAACATAGAATGTTGGGGTGTTGCGCCCAAGAGTGAATCCATTCCCCATAGCTTGCCATCATGTTTGGATGAGATGGTACAAACTGATAGTGAAGTATATACTATATAATAATTAATGGCGCTATATGCCTTCTGTGTGGCTATACAATGTCATACAAAATAAAAGCTCTGGCAAGAGGGGGCAGTCAATCGGGATTCCAGGGATTGGTGCGAACTCGTGGCTTTAACTGCATGGTGAGACCACCATTGCAATTGGAAAAAATGCGCCCTATCTGTCGAACTGGGGGGCCATTTGCATTGGAAGATTGAACCGACTATCTGCCCCCACGCAGGTTCTGCCCGAGATCGCCTGGAAGTGCAACGCCGGGCAGAGCTGGAATCATTGCGCCTCAGCAGAAACGGGCAGAAGGTTTGATCAGTTGATTTTCTAGGTTTGATCAGTTGATTTTTCTAACAGGGATTGTTTTTGAATGCTGGGTTTATATATAAATCCACCTAAAGAGCAAACCCATAGCACTATAGCTAGCAGCTAGCCCAAGTATATATGTTCTGATATTCTTATTGATCAGTCAGGTTGGCTAGCGCTGTGGGCAGCGGCAATTCGACTATCAAGCATGCCTGCAATGTTGGCGCGCTCTTTGGAAGTGATGTTTTCAAGACCCTTGGATGTGATCAAAGAAAGCTTTGCCTTTTTGGGGGGGGTGGCGCCACGGTGTGAGACCTGGTTCTGGGACACATTCTAAGTCCTGCACTGTCTCCAAGGTCTGATGAGCGCGGCGTCCACACTGCGTCGCGGCGGTGCGGCCTGGCACTTCCCGTGGAGGTGCAGTATATGCAGCTGCCGGTCTGCAGCGATTACAATGATGCTGGTGAGGCCATTGTCGATATCATTGACTGGCCTTTCTTGCAGCCTCACTTACTAGAACCCTGGTCATTGATGCGCCAAAGTTTTTAAACAAGTCTTTTTGGTAGGTGCCTCAAATAGCACTGAATGTGTGGTCAAAAAGAAACTGGATCAATAGATCCTATGATATCATATATTATACTACTATATTCCTATAGACTAATTTTATAATATGTTCAAAAAATATACCCAACCAGGAGTCTATAAAAAAGAAACCACACCTCGAGGGATCATGGCCAATATCTGAGGTTCAAGCATTGATTGACGAAGGCTTCTTACGGTTCATTTGCGACCCCAAAGATCTAGAGACCTACTGGGCGAACCTCTTGAAGGACTACCCGAACCACCCAGCTGGCCAACATCCTGCGGCTGCATTTCCTCTGAGCCTATATGGATTCTTGTCCTACTTGATAAACAAAACCCTTTGTAAGGTTTTCTGATTTCTGCACTGAGGAACACCAATAAATACCATCAATCTTTGAGATTTCATGTGACCCTCAATTGAGGAGATGAAGGGACAGCTCTCAATGCGTCATGGATGACCTTCCATGTCCAACCTGATCTTTCACCAAAGCTGTCTGATGCTGGGGTCAGCCGTTTCCTTTGCACAACAATTCCTTCAACACTGTAATGTGGCTGCACACTAGCAATTTTGATCATGATTTTGTTTGGTCGCCTAATGCCAATTGGGACTTGGTGCTAGTTATCCCTGCCAGGTACTTGTACGATGACAATGGAATCAACATCACATTGCAAGCGGCTGCCCAGTGGATTGCGGAATCCATCAACCGCTTATCTGTGGATGGTGTGCGATTGAAGGATCCCACTACAGGAGAGGAAGTCACCGGGTTTTGGATTAGAAGCAATTGTCTTGTTAGTGTGGGTTTGAATTTCATGTCTATCGCACAAGCAACCCTGCAACATATTGTCAAGCCTAGGCGGGCCATTTCTATGGGTATGCAGTCCACTTCAAAGGTGACTGGAAATATCTTGTGGCTTTGTTCAACATGACCCAGAGCGCCCAGCAAGAGCAGGTCATGGCCTCTAAAAGCCGTGGTAGATCATCGCCATGGCTTGTCAAATCCAATGGTTTGTAAATGTGTTCAACATCTACCATAGAATGATTTGTTCCAAGAGTCTTTTCACTTATATTGGGTCACACTTTGTCCCTGGCAGGTTTGTTGGAAGTGCGGCGCCAGCAAGGGGACTTCAGATCCCAATATGTGCTATGTGAATTTGAACCATGATGCGCCCTGGCGTCGCACCGCTGTCTCTATGTGGAGCGTTAAGCCTGCTTTCGCAAACATTGCAACTTGCATTTGTTCCAAATATGTTTTTGTGTTTTTGTTGGTGGTGGTGCCACCCACCAAGCACAAAGACTTCTCATTTGGTGTGTGATATGGTTTGTGCCATGGGGTTCAAAACAGTGATCTTTCGGGGTTCCAACCATGAGGTTGGATTCTCAAAAGAGATGGTTGCGCCAGATGTGCTGCACTGCTGGCACCTTGGTGTTTGCAGGGATTTGATTGGATCCGTGGTCCGCCTATTGGTGTCAGAAAGATATTGGCCAGGGTCCAACATCAACGACCGTTTAGCATTCGCTACTGCTTCATTGAAAAGGTGGGCGAAGCATCGTGCATTGAGCCTGACTATCAAGCGATTGACAAAGCAAAACCTGTCTTGGGGTGATCAGTACTTTGGATAAAAACAACCACTTTTTGTTGGTACTAGCTGAAGGTTAGTTGGAAAACTATATATATCTATATCTATATATATTTTGTCACTAACCTCTTTACATTACCATTGGCTAGCTGTCCAGGTATCCAGAACTACGTTGCAAAGGGTCAGATTCACGAGTGGTTTTGGGGTGGTTGAATGATCAGCTCCAGACAAAGGGCTGCAGTATGGATGATGTGGCATCCGCACCACAGTTGGAAGAAAGCATGTTTGGAATTTTTCTTGTACGCAAACCTGATAGCTTAAGCTCTATAGGTTTCTAGGATCGCACGACCTTGGTGTACCAAACTCTTGGCACCCAGGTTGTATGGCTGGGCGAATCATGGATGTCGATGCTACACACGGCTCCTATGTTCCTCTCAGCTGCTGAAGATGAGCACCGGATGCACATTGGACAGTTGATGCTACGAACCTATGTGAAGCTGGCTCGGTGGGCATTAGATAGCAACAAAAAGTTGTTCCGATGTCGTCCGAAGCTTCATCTTCTGACCCACTTAGCTGAAGATAGGAAACCATCAAGGCTCAACCCTGTTCACTGTGCTTGTTGGATGGACGAGGACTTTGTGAAACGTGCAATGAACATAAAGAAGAAGCTTCACAAACGCACTGCTACAGAGCGTACCTTGCAAAGGTACACCCTGGCGTTAAGCACAAAGTTGCGAGCAGCGCAGAAGGATCTGTGAGGAAAAACAATTTGCCAGCACATGTTTTTGAGCAGGCTCTGCTGAGTATGGGGAGCTGGCAAACAAAACCCATAACAAAACCCATGTATATATATCACAGGTAAACAATATATACATATATATTGATTTATATAAACATACGTACTATGCATTAAAATTATGTGTATATATATATATGTAATATATGTTTTTGTTGGTGGCTCAAGGCGGCTCATAAAAAGAGCCTGGGGCAACAACTAAGTTGATGTGGCCAAAGCCCCAAGTAGCGTGAAACTGCGTGAATTTTTGGCAAACATCTCAAATGTACACTTGGTGCTTCTCAGGTGTACGAACGAGAGTATGTACAACATGATCTTGTTCAAATGCACCTCTAGGTGCAACGATCCGGTCGGGTCCGCAGGTCCGTGGATGGGTTAAGAAAACAAGCGGTTGAGGTTCGGAAAGCCGGTACGGTTTCTCCCAAAATGCGGTACGGTTGTTTCCATTCGATCCGACTGACCGGTCGTACCGAAAATGGGACATGACCTCATGTTAGAAAAGTAAAACAACACAGGTACTCCGAGTATCTATTTTCCGAGGTACTTTGAGGGTCAAGGTATATATATATAATACTAGAGAGGTACCTGGATCTTCTCCAAGCGTGCAACATTTCTACCTTTGGGCTGGGTCATTGACCTGCAGGGTACTGTTCTATACTGGACAACGACGGAATTCACAAGTAAGTCCCTCTCCACCAATCACTCCCACTTTCTTCGGCAAATATAGAAGACTATGTCATGGTATGGTGGGAAACTCCACGCCAGCTCGTGGAGTGGAAGACTCTTTTCATTGAGAAACAATCCTCAAACCATCTCAAATACAAAACACTTCATGCATATATATGCATACATCCCTATAGGCCTCCAGTCGTACCTCCTCAGGTTCGGTATAACTGGACCCGGCACCCACCCCAGTCCCACCAAACCTCAGGTTCGGTACGAAAACGGAGGCCGAACGTTATACCTTTTTAACCACCCCAACTGATCGGCTTCGGCATGGTCGTCGAACGTCTCACTCTGAGTCCAGACGAGCTCGGTGACGTCCACGTTGCTGTACTTGTCAGGGCCTCCGAGGCGAGGAGCTTCGTTCACGGTTGGACCGCGCGGCGCCGCATCGGTTGGGACCACGCGCGGACCGCATCGGAGCGCTTCCAGGAGCGCGGCCAGCGGCCAGCGGCCAGGCGCGGATGGTGGACGGAGCACGTGAAGGTTCATGAAGTTGACCAAGAAAAGAAGATTCACGAAGCCAAAAAATACTACGACCCCCCTGAATTGATCCTCATTTCCTGGCATGTGGCCAAAGGAGGGAGACTAAAAAAGGTGGTGGTCTCCAACACACATCTCCAACCCAGGATTCACAGGGCCATATTGATGATAGCATTCATAACTATAGGGATCCACTGCCACCTTCTCGGGTTCGGCACGACTGGACTCTAGACCCTCCTGGTGCCTAGATATACGAACACATCACCTTCTCAAAGGGGGGCAGTAGATCCATGAAGACCTCTGCTTGCCTTGGTTGTAGGCAGTTACTTAAACTCACATCGACCAGCATCACCATGATAAACAAAGCCACCTGGGCCATCTGAAGCGACCAATCATGCTTGCCTCGAGGAAAACAACAACTTGATCCATGTTACAAAATGGGGTAGGGGTCTTCATTTTGTAGAGAGGTATTGGAACATAGATACAACTTGTATCTTGGGATGGGAAGATTTCATCTCGGTTTTGCAGAAAGCGTCTAGATGACTACATCTGCAAGCAAGAGCTGCGACAGTAAGAGATGCAAGCACTGTTTGGACCAAATCTAAAATTCTCACAAGCCAAGTCACCCAAAAATATCCAAGATTCTAAGTGGAAGCCTCAAAGATTCATGGAACCAACCTGACACGGATTGCCCTTGAAAGAGGCTATTATCCTCATCACCTGTGGAGTAGTGCACGTGATGTCTTAACGGCCTCCGCAGAAACCGGTGTGATGTCTAGGTGCTTCCCAGCTTGAGACGTCTCTATCATTCCCTTAAGTTCATCCCTTTGAAGCTGTGAACGACCTGGGAAAACGGTGAGCAGCTGCCTTCCCTATTCCTATAGGGCTCCAAGCATATCCTCAGAAGGTGGTTAGACCCCCAAAACCCACCCCAACCACCTTCAAAACGGAGGTGGGCGGTTGGAGCCCTAGGGATTATAGAGCTTCCCCACCCCGGCTCGCCCCGGTTCCGATCGGACTCTTCAGGAAGACTTAAGGACCCGGTCCAGGTGTGGTGCAAGGTGTGGTGGTCAACCCCCGAACGGCCTCCAGCACCTGAGGGTCGGTCGTCCTACCGGTAGACCGAACCGTTTCGGAGGTGCGAAAACGGAGGTGTAGGGTACCAACAAAAAGAACGAACCCCAAAACTACCTTGGGGGGGTGTTGGGGTCGGATTATAACTGTACATATAGACACACCAACCTGGTTCTTCAATTTGACCTTTTGAAGGTTCCTAAGTGACCCTTAGGAGGCTTAAGTGACCTCAAACCAGGTTATCGAAAGGTCACCTTGAAGAACCAGGAATATGATCATCATCCATGCAGGTCCATATATTCTAGGCCAACCTCAGTTTCACCAAGTGATGTCGAGACAAGGCACGCTCGAACTTCGTGATCAACGACATGCGAAGCTTCATCTCGTAGCTGTGCCTGAGCAAGTGAAAAGGGGAAAAGCAACCAGGGTTGTGTTAACGTTTGTAGATCAAAACCACGTTCCATAGTCTGTGTTCAAAGTCTTGGCATGGGTTGTCCCACTCCAGTACAGTTGAAGTGTTCTCTGAAACTTCAGAGGAATGAAGACGTTCTGAACTACAGGAATGGCGAGGGATTCAAAGGCACTTCTCTCAGCAAACAGCAACTACCACGAACTACCGCCATCCGCGAAACGTCCTCAAACCACTGAGAATCTTCGCGAAACAAAGATCCCTTCAACAACGGAAGTTCGCCTTTCCCAGCAATCTGAACAGTAGCATGATGCTCTATAGGCCTCCAGTCGTACCGAACCTGAGGTTCGGTGGGACTGGGGTACACCTTCTGAGGAGGTACGACTGGGATGTTGCATGCGCCGATTTCATTGTTTGGGGGACGAACAGTGAATCCGATGCCATCAATCCCCCGCCGCTCTCCTCGCCTCGTCTCGTTGCCATGGATGGTCTGATCCTTGAAGTCGGCATCCTTGGTCGTGTCTGTGTCTGTGTCCGCCGCGCCGGTGGTGACCGCGCGCCACCGCGCCCGCGGGTTCGAGTAAACCAGAGATGAGTTGGGAAGCGTTTAATTCATGTTTTAAAATGAATCTGAAACACGTCATGGTCTGGAAAAAAACTTGACTGTGTCAAGGATTTTAAAAAATCATCCCAAGTTAGGGTGTGCAATTAAAACAGCATCTGCCCATTTAGAGTATCACATAACTCATATGACCATATATGACCCATGTTTTGCAGCTGCTCGTCCTGACTCCAAGCACGTTGTGGCATCGACGTGACGGACACCGGCTAAGGTGACCGGATCCGCGGCTAAGGTGACCGGCCGCGAGTTCAGAAGAACCAGGGCGGTGGAGTTCGGAACCCATTGGTGATGGTGAGGGGAGATAGCCCTGGCCCTTTCCATTCTAAAACAAAGGGCCGAACCCAAACCGGTTCTCCAATCCCCACATCATCGCAAGTGCACGTGCAATTCCGATTGTTTGATGAAACCAATTTCCTGGATTCAGCCTTATTTTTCTAGCAGCGAGAAACATCTAGCTCTCAACCACCACCCCCAAACAGGCTCAAAAAACAAGATGGAGCCCACGAACCCGAATGCAAACACGTTCGAAAAGCTACATATGTCCAAATGACACTCTTGTAGGACACTCTTGTGGGACACTCTTCTGGGACACTCTTGTGGGTGACTCTTTCTTGTAGGACACTCCTTATGGGACACTCTTGTCGGACATTCTTGTGGGACACTCTTGTGAGACACTCTTGTGGGACACTCTTGTAGGACACTCTTGTGGGACACTCTTGTAGGACACTCCTTATGCGACACTCTTGTCGGACATTCTTGTGGGACACTCTTATAGGACACTCTTGTGGGACACTCTTGTAGGACACTCTTGTGGGTCACTTGCAGGACACTCTTGTGGGACACTCTTGTGGGACACTCTTGTGGGACACTCTTGTAGGACACTCTTATAGGACACTCTTGTGGGACACTCTTGTCGGACATTCTTGTGGGACACTCTTGTAGGACACTCTTGTGGGACACTCTTGTGGGTCACTCTTATGGGACCCTCTTGTCGGACATTCTTGTGGGACACTCTTGTAGGAATCTCATGTGGGACACTCTTGTAGGACACTCTTGTGGGACGCTCTTAAAGGACACTCTTGTGGGACACTCTTCTGGGACACTCTTGTCGGACACTCTTGTGGGACACTCTTGTGGGACACTCTTGTAGGACACTCTTGTAGGACACTCTTGTAGGACACTCTTGTGGGACACTCTTGTGGGAAACTCTTGTGGGATACTCTTGTAGGACACTCTCAAGGGACACTCTTGTGAGACACTCTTGTGGGACACTGTTGCGGGACACTCTTGTGGGACACTCTTGTGGGACACTCTTGTGGGACACTCTTGTGGGGACACTCTTGTGGGACACTCTTGTAGTTGACTCTTGCCTGGGGCCTGCAACACATATTTATAAATGGTCGAAATCTGCCTGTGTTTTGAAAGCAGTCGTTTCATGAAACCACCGTTTTGCGCGCCTTTTCAAAGCGATGCTCCTCACATGAACGATCACGACTCTTGCCGCAAAGCACACTTTAAAGCTGTTAGGTACCTATAAATGACCTTACGGCCCTGCACTCTAGGTGACACTCTGCGGGACAGTCGAGCCACCCGCCCTATGAAGTCTTCACACATGAAAGTCGAAAATCCCACGGGGTTGCACACTGAGCCCTTGTGAAGCCTGAATTGCACCAGCATCTCAAGAATCAGGTGGGCCATTGAATGCGCTTTGGGTTTGAGTTTGTAGAGGGTCATGTTTGCACTCAAGGCACTCTTGGCAAGCTGCATGTAGCATAGGAGGAACTTATACCCATCCGCAATTGCTTTTTGAGCTTCTTGCTCACTCAAGAAAAAGCCTGCTCCAAAAACAGTCCGTAGGAAACCTCCAATAGAAGAAGTCGCATCTCGCATCAATATCAACATAGGCCCATGCGGGCCATGCTCATGATCTGGCAAATACTCTGAAATAAGAAACCCGAGAAACTTGCAAACCTTCCCTGTATCCATCCCCTTGGACCACTTGCCACATGGGAAGTGCCGGGGCCCATCGTAATCCAGCAAATCCCACGACAACTTTCCAAAGTGTGTAGGTTCACCTCCATGAATACGTTGAAAACAACTCAATTCTTCGTTGAGAAACTTCATTGATTCTTCTTTGGAACGCTTTTTCAAGACAGTGCGCAGCAGGAACACTATGCTGGAACCGCAATAGTCCTTTCCCAGACCAGCGTACCAAACATGAAACAAGTCGACCTTGTAAAAGTTGGCCATGTTCCGTGGCTCAGTAGGGAGGAACTGTAGCAAAGGTGAGGGATGGTTCCACGGCAGCATGTTTCGCTCCCCAGCTGTGCTCACCCAATCCGCTGATAGAATGTCTAAATCTTCATAATGAGGTCCGTTGGTTTTTCCTGCCGCGCAAAGATAACATACTCCGGGCAGTAGAGCTTTTGAATCAGCACTTTTTCGGATGTTGTTGAAGCTTCGATTCATGTAGCCCGCATCGCGGAGGAATGGGGCGTCCCCAGTCAACCCCAAAATGGCTATCCTGAAGACACGACCCTCAACTTGGATTCCACCATCCAGCAAGGCAGCCAGTTCCTGCCCCCAAAGCTTCAGCAGGTCGTAGAAAACTGATGGGTCTTCTTTAATGTACTTGTTGTGGATAGCACAAAACATAAAGCGGTTCCCCAGCGAATTTCCAAGAAGATTGATGCCCATGGTGACCTCGTTCGTGTTGGCTGCATTGGCATCATCTCTTTTTCTTTTTCGACCATGAAACACGGTTGTGGAAGGCTGCATGGCGGAAACCTGGCATTTGGAAGTTCCCCTCCCCAGGGCCGGGTACATGCTGGTTATGACGATGCTGTCTCGTTTGAACGTTCGACCGCCATCACCATGTAAAAAGTATGGGACGACATTGCTGTAGTCTGAAAGGCCAAGTTCAAACAGCTCATGCCGGGGGTAGGCCAATCGGTAAGCGTGCCAAAACTCTGTCAAAGTTTTAGAAGCCTGCTTCAGCGGTGCACCAATCAACTTGTGCGCGCAACCTTGCTTTGCAAGCGCAAGCAGCACATCCTTTGGTAGCAGCACTGGATATTCAAAACCATTGTCACCAAGCTTTACATTCGTGATGGGGATGTTCAGGGCTTCCCCACAAACCAGTAGAGTCCGGAACAGGGGTGTGTCAGCATCCTCCATGCGCATAGACGCAATGCGTTGAAGAATTGGGCAGCGATCACATTTTGAAGCTGCTCGAGCTTCCTCAACGCAGTCATTCGCAGGAACCTAGGCTTCACACACCCGGTTTGCACACAAACTTGCTGCAAACAAGCCTAGAAAACCTCTACAGCGCAAGCCCCAGCACGCCATGCAGCTGAGAAGCGCCACGGCTGTAGTTCTTTGCTATGTGCTTCACGGTGTCGCTCAGCTGCACCGGACCTGGCCAACTTTAGAGGGTGCGTTGGGCGTGAAAAGCTGTTTCAGGGAAGATTTGCTGGCAGCACGGCTGCGTATCATGTTTTCCATCGCTAGCATCGTGGGTTTGCTGCCATTTCCCCTGAAGCAACTTAGGTTCTATGAGGTGTCCTTCACACCTGCATTCCCAAGTTGAACCACCCCAAAGCTACTGTACCACGATGATCAGATTTCTGATCGGACCAACTCACTAGTGAATCAGTCCTCCTGCTTCAGCTTGATAGCTTTTCTGGCCTTCTGCACGAAGAGCCTCGTTGCACATGATGAGAGGCCGAATAGCCGTTGTAATGCTCTCTCAACCGTGACTGCAATGTTCAGTGATCTCAATAATACTTCCAGAATGCTTGTGGGCATCCCAGTCAAGGCTGACATCCCCTGACTGAGGATCTGGCTTTGAAGCCGCTTCAGCGCTGGTAGCCAATGACATCCTCGTGCACCGGTCGCAGCTATGGATTGTAAACTGCGATGAGCCAATGGGTAAAGAAAAAAGGGCAATATATAGGGCCTTATATAAGTACACTTAGGCTGGCCTCCTTTTTATTGCGGTCTTCTTGACTCTCCATGGAATGATGGAAAGCTAGAATCAAAATTGCGGGACAAGTTTCTCTTTCTGGGCAGCTTTGTAGTGCGACTCCAACTTTTGGCATTGCCTTATTAAATCAAGGGCTCCATATGCACAACGACATTGGCTTAACCGGAAACTCTAGAATTATAGGCGGATGATCTTGAAACTGTGCATTGGCGTGCAAGATAGGACTGCAAGTAAGGTACTCCCCAGAGAACTCCCCAGCACTCTCACCCTCAGCTTGAACTTCAGTCATCTTCTCATAGATATCATCCAGGTTCTTGCGGATCGCCTCCATCTTGGCCACAGACCTGAGGTACATCGGCTGCGGATATTCTACTGCAAAGGGGAATAGCATGAGTGGATGGGAGCAGCTTGGCAAACAGTTGTTGCGTTCTTAAGGGTATAGGCTCTAATTTTGAGCAAGTGTCGAAGCACAAGATTTGTCCGTCTTGGCAAGCTCATGGAGCTTGTCAATGGTGTTTGTCATCTTGTGGATTCCCTGGAGGGTTCCCTTCAACATGTCAGGAAGCTTCTTGGGTGCCTTAGCTAGCGCCACCTGTTTGGAAAACATATGTAAGCAAATACAGCACATGTAATTAAAGCACCATGTGATAAATAAAATCAGGTTGCACTTTTGCGGGCGTCACCTTCCAAATCCAAACTCCCACAGGCCCCTAGGCCATCCGCAAAACCCCCCGTACTGAAATCCATGCTGGGCAAGCTATCATCAGCTTCTACTTCCTGCTCGAACGAACGTTTGCGTGACATCCGCTCCACATCCTCCCGTTTGAGCGAGCCCTCCGTGCGAGTGTTCACCCAATACTCGAGAATGGTCTCATCATATTCACACCGCCTCAGATCAGTGCTTGGGCATTGCAAAGGAGCCGCAAAGCGTGTGTTTCATATTGCGTAGCTAGACTGCCTGCCACGACATATGTTTTAGCAATTATAAATGTTAAGGAGCCGAACCAATCCATGGGCCGTGGCCCATTTCTTGATCTTCTCAATGCGCTCCCTGGGTTGCGTGCCACCCCCGTATACAATTTAGAGACTGACTAGAAACAAAAGAAAAGAGTACAATCGCAAAAGCGAAGAGTGAAGAACAATGGCATGTGTGTATTCTTGAATTGGCCTGCTGTACTTCAACTCCGTTGCCATATCCTCCTCGGAATAAAAGCCACCCTTGACCTCCAAAGTCTTGGACTTTGTGGTGACGCATAAGATTTCCACCGTTTCAAGAAAGATGGCCTCGCAACACAAGGTGATCTCATTCCAAACTCTATGATGACGAACATTGTCATGTATCAAACCTGTGGACACTGTAGGCCCCGCCTTGACACCTCCTGATTTGCACCACATTGAAAAGAGTTTCTCCCTTCCACCTGCTGTGTTCCACATTTTGAAAATGTCCTCAGGAACCTCGAGTCGACCCGTGGTTGATTTTGGTGTGCAAATTCTACGGACCTTCTCCCGTTCAGAGCGGTGCATTGTTGTGGGGTGCATGACGACGGGAACAAACTCGCTCGGCTCCGCTTCTGCCACAGGCTCTTGACCACGATCACCTGCATTTGGCTCAGAAGCTGGCGGGGCATCAGCAGGACGAGCCTTGGCCGGCAGCGGAAGGGAAGTGGCCTGGTGTTACACAAGAGGCCTTGGTGAACAGTATATATATATATATCTATACTTATGAAATTGGAAAGGTGGTGGTTCAACTTTACTGAATGTAGACGCGTCACACTAGCATCTGCAGCAGATATACCGGGTTGGTCGAGAAGCTCATGATCATTGAGGGCATCAGTCTCCTACAAACATACATGCATTCATGCACAAATCGGAGTTTGACACATATAGTCAACAAGACTGCCTCACAGACCTCACAACGCATCCCTGCAATAGTCCTTGGGAAGTGCTGCAGCCGGCGTCATCTCAACCAGGCTACGATGAGTCGTTTGCAACTCATCAACCATGAGCAAACTTGACCCTCCGGAATGTTTTTCCATGGAGTCGAAATCACCCTCCAAGGACCGGCAAACAGGCTTCTCAATCCCCGGGGCCCTAGATGGTGTGGGGTTGGCAAGGAGACGGTTGATTTTGTGAGCAGTCTTCTCCAACTGAGCCGGCTTTGGAGGAGTGAACGGTGCCGGAACAGGTGTCTCTGGTGCTACCAGTTCCTCACCCTCAGCACGGAGAGCACATGATGGCTTGGCTGTAGAAGGCCTAGCAATTGATCGCAAATCCACCACACTGGTTTGATAGGGGCTGCAGGGGGGAGGTACAGTGCTTGGCAGCACCCGTGCTGCGCCCGCTGCATCCAAGGTAGGTGTAGAACCATTGTCCTACCACAGAATGCAACCCTGGATCAACATCCCGATTTTCAAACAGACGATTGGAAGATATATATATATATATATCACCATCAGCTTTGACAACAGCCAAGGACAGACCTGGTGGTTCCACTGTTTCTTGAAGGCAGAGAGCTCTTCCGCTGTGGCCGGGATGGTGGTTGCATCTGAGATCCCTCGATGATATGTATGTGGGGACCCGTTCGCGTCATCAGTTTCATCCACCAGCGTCTTAAGCACCTAGCTGGCAGGTCATGCTTGAACTTGGGGGCCTACCTCGACACAACATGGTTGCACGATAGTGGACAACACAAAATAAGCCAGTTGGGTGGAATATCGTTGTTTTAAATACATGTTTCCATGGGCCAGCCTCTAAAACCTCCACCAGTTGAGCAGGGTCATCCGGCAACATATGCTTAATCTCTGCAACGATGTCTACCTGCGCATCCTTGTCCATGGCCTTCACGGCAGACATGAGGGTCGCGGCCGACCATTGGCTCCGCAAAAGGTTTTCCGAGCTCATATCACCTGCGCAGGGAGGATCGCAGTCTGACCCAGAAATGCACCATGCCCCAAAACCCTGCGAGGTTCCCGGCCAAAACGAAACACTTTCGCGTAAAACCGACCTAAGATTGGTGCGTCGATGGATCCGGTTGTTTCACATGTCGGCATGGTCGTTTCATGGGTGTGCATGGGTGTTTCACGAAATGCAATTTCGCGAAAAAACGTGCATGGTTTTCTCAAACTCACGAAAAACAACTGCGAAAGACATATTTCGAAGGATTTCGAAACGTTTCAAAGCTTCTCAAAAGATCTTTCTCAAAATGTGGCCTGTGTGGCCTGTGAGGGGCGGGGCCATGATGCTAGAAATGCGGGCCCCAAATCGGTGTTCATTTTGCGCTCGAATTCGGACGCAAAATGAACACCGATTTGGGCCCCACCCTGGCCAACCCAAGAGGAAAATTGTCAGTAGCCCTGCCTTCAAAGGATGATCGAAGCCCACAGCTACCGTGCAAAAAAGGCCACAGTCTTCTCAGCCAAGTGACCATACGACGATGGGTGCATATATATATATAATGTATGGATCGACATTTCACATTCAACATGTGAGTTATATATATATATATATATTATACACTGATTGGAAAAACTGCCGCGGGCAATTTTCATGCATGCGGGTTTGTGTGGAATCACACATGATATGCATGGACTCGCATGCGCAACAAAGATTGGCAATCACATCTGTTTGGGAATGATCCACTCCCAACCAGACGGGATCTTTAAGCCTTTGGCCCCTGCAAGATACCGGACTACTTCTTTCAAGTAGGCATCATCCCACTGATCCAAATCAGGGGCGCTGGCCCAAAGGCGACCTAGCTCGTACTCACTGGTTTCAGCTGTGGGAGGCACCGTTGTCTTAATCATGTGCGGGTAAAGAGCTGCAGCTCTCTGGGCAAAAGAGCGGGTATAGGTCCTTGGCTGCGTCGACATGTATCTATATGCAGTATATATGTATTGTTTATGCGCGCAACCATGCTCATCAAGATGCAACATATTTTCGATGCATGCTGCCTGGCTTCTGTGTTTGGGTCAACTGCGGTGTCCCATGATATCTACGACGCCCCTTACGATCTTTGTACTGGACAACTGGTTTGAAGCCAGCGCGCTTGTTTTTTCTTTAGCAACTGCCGGAACTTTTTGGTCATCTTTCCTTTCCAGAAGTATGCTATGACCTTTGAGTTTGACCACAGCAATGTCCTCTTTGGCGTCGGATGGTCGTAGTGGCCCATCCAAAACCAGGTTCGCCAGATCTGCGCAGCGAGTCGAAGCGTTGCCGCTGGATCTCAAAGTGGGAATGGGTCTGTGAAAACGGTACATTGTAGATATTTCTCTCATGGCCTTGATATGTTCACATAACTCTTGGAAGCGGGGATGTCTTGCAAGTAGGCTGCTTCCGGGCTGTTCCACTATCATGATTGCCCCCAAAGATATCGCCAACCATGCAACTAATACACTCCTGGGGCGCATGCAAATGCACGAGGACAAAACATGGTGTCAGCAGTCAACATCTTGCAACAGACATCTCCTTGATACCATAGCATTGGCAATTTGGTTGCACTTGGTGTCAAAGCCGATCGGGTCCAAGAAGCTTTTACCGGTCGATGGTCGCGAGATCGAAACCCAGCAGCTGCACTTGACCCCCATCCAGACAACAAATCGGCCCCCTGGCACCCCTCGCAGAACGGAGACCACATGAGTCCTGAGCTGAATGCTCAAAGATTTCCGTATATCTTGAATCACCGTATATATATATATAGCACTTGTTGAGGTCCCTACGCAAAGCCAGCTGGGGTTAGGATATCATGTCCACGGTGGTACTGCAGGTCAAGTCGGGCACCGCAACCGTGCACCTCTCTCATAGTGTTTGTCAGCTCCCCATATCCTGCGTAGTGCTCAACAAATGTAAAGTCCTGCCAGCGGGGCAATGGCGCAGTGGGACATTTATTGCTGGAACAATTGTTCACATCAAGCTGCACCCCCCATCCTGAGAAAGCTGCAAGCGCTCATTCCAAAGAATCAGTAGGACGACCAAGATCAAGATCTGTTGGCGCCAAAAAATGCTCGTCCAGTATGTGAAAACACCGATACGTACCTTTGTTTCCAAACATGCAACTCTGGCGCCTTTGGAGCCTTGGCTTTCAACAGCTGCACCCCCACTTGAAACGCATTGCGCTTGCACGGACGCGGCATGAGACAAAACCTGTTCTTCTCACCGTCCACTATGAGCCAGGTTTCTCACCAAAAACACAAAATGTCGATCCATATGATGTTGCGAGCAAATGTTGATCATTGCAAGCATTGCAAGATGCATGCAGTCAGACACCGTTCGCAAGCATGTCAGTATGACGTTGTCGTAGAAGCTCCGAGGGGTCAGCCAGACCCAGTGTAGCCAAAACGTTGGCCGGCATGGGAGTACCTGGCGAGGTCCAGAATAAGCAGCGTGCGTATGACCAAGATAGGTCAGAAGGACTATGAAGGACTCTATTTATGGGAATTTGTCCTTGTAACCTATCTTTGATCAAGGGTTGCTGTTTCCAAAAAATGGTTGATCTAATTCTTTTTTATATACACAAAAACACACCCGGCTTTGTGCTTTTGTGTCCCCTCAACCTCTTGGTATAGGCTACATATATGTCCTATAGGTGCAATAGTTAAAGGGTTTCATCGCACACCCCACCCAAGCCCATTTTCTTCGCATCCCACGCCAAGCTTCTATCATGGTTTGTTTGCGTAGTCCAGCTTTCAGCAGGCAGCAATGCACTGGGAAATCGGGCCACTGTTGAGACTACGTGCACTTATAATCACAAAGATGATGTTTCAAAAAGAAGCTGTTGACCCAAAAGTATACTTGTCGTATGCATCGGATGAAAAATGGTGGCAGGCCTTCCCGGAGCAGCCTAATGCAGCCTACTGTCATGCTGACATGGAATCTCATCCAAAATGTTGCACATACATATGTGCACCGCCAATCTGGGCCAAAAAGGCATGTGGCCCCCACTCAGGACTTGGAGCCAGCGAGGCTGTCAACAAACTTCAGCCCATCCGCGTTCAGCTGCTCGCCTCAGTGTGGGATTGTTGGATTGGTCGAGCCTTTTTCGTTCTATATTGTTGAAAGGTGTCAGTTTGGTGGATGATGGTTCAAGTGGCGCATGTCGGGCTGTGACAAAAACTGGTTGGCCAAATCCTCATTGATCACAGCTGTCAGCTTGAGCTCACAATCGGCATTCTCCCAATGATGCTCACAGAAAAGCCACCAATTCTCCTCTCACGCGCTGTTTCATGTATGTGCGCTCAAAGGGTGCGTATGTTGGGTTCAACATTGCAATGTTCAATTTGTTTTGAAAGAGTTGGTCAGTCCTCGCACCAAGTGTGACCAGTGAGATGCTTGCGCAAAAAGCTGTTGTACACATCACGCACGCAATCAAACTTTGCCATGTTGTGCTTTGAGGTGGGCCGGTACCGTTTTGCAAAGGTAGCCTTCTCCCCACCTTTTGGTTTGGGTTCCTTCTTTGGGGCTCTCTTTGGTGCAGTCTTTGCTTTTGCCTTCTGTTTTGGCCGCTTGCCTTTGGAATTCTTCGCTGGGCTCTTGGAAGTCCGGCC